GATTATGATCACAGTATCTGTAAAGCACTTTTGTAAAAATAAATAAAATCAAGCCTGGGAATGGAGATAAATATTACCATTGTGAGCAAGAAGCTTGGAGCTTCCCATAAGTGTGAGTATTATACATTGATGAACACAGTATCTGTCAAGGGGTTAACTTTGGGATACGTTTGAAAATTTTGTTTGATATTTTTACAAGTGAAAAATTCAGAAATCACTGAAAAGTGAATGACAAATGCAGTAAAAGATTCAGGGTAGTAATCTTTATCACAATTCCAAAACTTTATTTTATTTATTTTTACAAAAGTCCATGACTTAATATTATTTTTAAATTTAGTGTTTTGATTGCTTTTGCCTTGGACAAAAGCAGCAAACAAAAATATTGGAAGAGTTCCTTAAGTTTTTTTCTGTTCTTTACATTCAATTTTCAATGGTTTCACTTTAAAAAAGAAAATCAAATTGGATATATACCTATACTTACTAAAGTGATTCTTAACCAAAAATTGAGAAGTTTGAAATAATTTCTATTCTAGTAAATAACAGCTTGTACAGTTTTGTAAATGTTGCTAAAACTTGATAAGTGGATACTGTTAGGGGAGACAATTCTCCCCTAACAAATCATTGACTCTTCACGGAAAAAAGGGTAGTATCAGACAACATGGCTGCTGGACAATATACCACCTGTAGACAGTGAATTGTTTATCCAACCAAATCCTGTATCCTAGTCAGTGTGAATAAAAACGAATATTGTTGTTTCAAAATATATTTAACTGTGTTTAGTTATATTTTGTTGTTTGTAATATTTTTTAGGTTACAACAAATTTTTGGTGATGAAGAAGATAAACAAAAACTCACAAAAATGGTGATATCACCAGACATACTGAAAGAGATATTGAATCAACAACAAAAACAATTCCAAATGTCACAACAGCAGTTGTTGACTATGATAATTCAACGGTTCAATCAACAATTCAATCACCAACTGGAAATTTTGAAAGAAGGTTGGAATTTGAACACATATTCTGTGGATAACATCACTAACAACATAACAGAATTCTATTCTGACAATGAAAGTGGAAAAACTTTTGCTTTGTGGTACAAAAGATGCATAGACATTTTACAAAACAAATTTTCATAGAAAGATGAACATTGGAAAATCCTTCTACTAATTCGGAAACTGGGAATCCAGGAACACGACTATTATACAAACTACATCCTACCAAAGCCGCCAATGGATTTCACATTTACAGAAACAATAGAAATGCTAAAAGAAATCTTTGGGAAAAAACAGTCACTGTTTTAATACCAGGTTTAATTGTCTCAAATTAGAAAAAAATGATGAAGACGATTATGTGGTATTGTAAATCGGGAATGTGAAAAATTTAAACTAAATTCCCTCACAAAGGAACGGTTTAAATGTTTAATTTTTATCGTGGGACTGACAACTGAATCACACAGTGATATTTGGACCAGACTACTTTCCAAATTGGAACACAATAAAGACATTACAATTCAAGCTCTAACAAGTGAATGCAACAGTATTTTAAGCATCAAAAGAGACACCATGTTAGTGCCAAAACCAAACACCCCCATTGTTAACAGGAAATGTCCAAGCAACAAAAAAAAAAGGAACCGCCATCAACTTGTTGGTTTATGCACGTTTTTGCCTGTTTAAGAAACATAAGTGCAACGTTTGCCACCAGATTGGACATAAGGAAAATTTTTGTAATGCAAATTTAAAAAAAAAAAAATACTGAAAGTCCAATCCACAATAAATTTGTTAAAAAATGAAAAAGAAAGTCGACACAAACAAACTCGGTGTTTGCATCATTCAAGGTGGGCTATAAAAGCAACAGAAAATATATTGTTGTTTCAGTAAACAACAAACCAGTTTGTTTCCAGTTTGACACAGCGTCAGATATTATGTTAATATCTCAGTCATCTTGGAAATTACTTGGAGAGCCATGTTTGTCTGCCACATATCACATAGTGAGAAGCACCTCTGGGGACCAAATTCATTTAACTGGTGAGTTAACTTGTAATGTTACATTTCAAGCTACCACATTTTCGGGTGTATGCTATCTTGCTGAAAATTCTGAATTGAATTTAATTCGTCTCAACTGGATTGAACAGCTTAATCTTTTTGAAATTCCTTTCAAATCTGTGTTCAACACATTTAGTCTTGCGTCTGTTTCAGACATTGAAAAACATTTTATGGACAAAGTTAAAAAAAAGTTCAGTGACGTTTTTCAAGAGGGTCTTCATTGCTGTACTAAAAGTAAGGCAATTTTGGAATTAAAAGAGGACTCTAAACCAATTTTTAGACCAAAACAATCTGTGCCTTATGCCGCACATGATATGGTTGAAAAAGAACTTTAACGTCTTCAGCAAGAAGATGTAATAGAACCTACAAATTATTCTCAATGGGCAGCTCCTATTGTAGTAGTAAAAAAAGCAAATGGAAAAGTCCGGATATGTGCTGACTACTCAACTGGTTTAAGTAATTCCTTGAATGCACATCAGTATTCACTGCCAGTTCCAGAGGATCTTTTTACTAAATTAAATGGCAAAATTTTCTTTGCAAAAATTGATCTTTCGAATGCTTTTCTTCAACTAGAAGTTGAAGAGGAGTCTAAGGAGCTCCTTACTATCAATACCCACAAGGGTTTGTTCAGATTTAACTGCCTTAGCTTCGGAGTCAAACCAGCACCAGCCATATTCCAGCAAACAATGGATGCCATGCTGACTGGATTGATAGGAGTTGCATTTATTGATGACATCATCGTTGAAGCTATATCCCAAGATGAACTTTTGCAGCGTTTATTTTCTGTTTTTAAGCCGAATCCAACAACATGGATTCCGTGTTAAAGCTGAAAAGTGTGAATTTTTCCAGGACAAAATCATATATCTTGGTTTTATATTTGACAAAAAGGTACAAAACCAGACCCAGAAAATATCTCTGCAATAAAAAATATGCCGGTGCCAACAAATGTAAAACTATTACATTCTTTCCTTGGCTTGGTTAGCCACTACAGTGTTTTTCTGCCCAAATTTCATCAAGTTTGTGCACCTCTCAACAATCTTTTAAAAAAAAAAATGATATTACATGGGATTGGTCTGATGCATGTCAGTCAGCTTTCAAAGGTGAACTCCTTACTTTCTTCAAATCTTTTGCTGACACACTACGACACATCCATGGATATTGTTGTAATCTCAGATACTTCTAATTAAGGTGTTGGAGCTGTTATTTCTCATATTTTTCTTGATGGCAACCAAAAGACAATTACTCATGCATCAAGATATAGCTTGCAAATTAAAAAAAAGGAAGCCTTAGCAATAGTCTTTGCTATTAAAAGGTTTCATAAAATGCTGTATGGATGCCATTTTACTCTGATCACAGACCACAAGCCTCTCCTTAGTATTTATAGATTCAGAAAGTATTCCTGAGTATAGAGCAAACCATCTGCAAAGATGGGCAACTACACTATTGGATTATAATTTACTAAAACTATAAAAAACTTTACAATTGGTCATGCACTTCCACTTGTAGGAAAATGACAATACAAAATAAAGACCAAAGGACTCGGTCATTGCAGCTTTCTTCTGGAGCCAGAAACACTTCACTGTAAAGCATTCATTCACTTCTACAATGAGTTGATGCCACAGCTTCTGATCAGTTCTACTGATGCACTTCCATCGTACAAAATGGCCTATCCCTGAATCACCCTGGTCATGCTTTCATGTTGATTTCACTGGACCTATCAGTGGACAGTGTTATTTTATACTTGTTGATGCTTACAGCAAATGGCCAGAAATCTTTCAAATGAGTTGTATCACTGCAGATGAAACAATTCTAAAGTTGAAAGAGATTTTCAGTCGCTTTGGAATACCACAGATATTAGTTTTTGATAATGGCACTGCATTCACTTCAGCTACATTTTCAAATTTCTGTTACCTTAATGGCATCCAACATATTAGAACACCATCTTTTCATCTACAATCAAATGGACAGGTAGAGCGTTTTGTAGATACTTTTAAGAAGGCACTTATAAAAAACAAGGGGAGGGAACCACACAAGAAATATTTAGAAATATTCCTCAGTAGTTATAGAGCTACACCAAATTCAAACACACCTAATGGTAACTCACCAGCAGAAGCACTGATGAATCAAAGTTTGTTTGCATATGGATGTCATCCATCCTACTCCAAAACATTCCCCAAAAAAGGAACATGGTGATGGAGAAACAATTTAACCAATATCATGGAGTAGTGAAATGCATATATGTAACAGGATAATCTGTACTTGCTAAAGACTACTGCAATGGCAAAAAAAAAAAATGGATTCAAGGACACATTCTACGTTGTTCTGAAAATGTTACATATGATGTAGATATAGAGTCTACAGTTTGGGTTCGACATGCAAACCAATTACGATCATCTCACCTTCCAGAGACCAAAACAAACTTCACCTTACCACTAGATATCCTATTGGACACCTTCAAACTACCTCCACAATGTTCCCAAGATATATCAAAGGATAATCCTAGGACTCCACCTAAACTTGTACTTAAGAAATCATATAGACTTTGGAGAAAACCCTATCAACTGCAAATAAATTCCTGAAACAAGTCATAACAAAAGGGTAAAAAAGGAAAGTGTTAGGGGAGACAACTCTCCCCTAACAAATCATTACTCTTCATGAAAAAAGGGTAGTATCAGACAACAACATGGCTGCTGGACAATATACCACCTGTAGACAGTGAATTATCCAACCAAATCCTGCTGTATCCTGGTTGGTGAGAATAAAAACGAATATTGTTATGTTTCAAAATATATCTAACTGTGTTTTGTTATATTTTGTTGTTCATAATATTTTGGGTTACAACAGATACAAATTTTTTTTTTTTGAAGAAATATTTAAAATAAAGACTGAAAAAAAAAAAAAAAAAAAAAAAAAATTTTGAAGTCATGACAAGCAAAGAAAAAGCAAAGATACTAACTGTTTTCAGTATGCCTATCCTGCATCAAATATTGATAGACATTGTAGGGCACCTCTGAAGGTCGGTAATACCATTTTACGTTGACGACCAGTGTATCACGTTTGGTCTGAAATAAAAAAAAAAATTAAAAAAATTAATGAATCAATAAAGACAATTCATGCAGAGTAAATATCAACTTGAAATCTTTTAAAAGAAGACTACAAAGCAATATAATCTCATCATTAATTAAATGGGAGGGGAATAAAGATATTGATATAAGCAAAAGAGAAATAAATTGAGAATCAAAAAACAGAATATCAAAAAGTTTAAGATATGAGTGTTGATTGTAAGCTGTCTTTTGACAAAATACCTCAACTGAAACAGAAATTGTTTTCTTTTCTAACTTAAAACTGAAATGCATTTCCTAACCTCTCAGAGTGTATTACAAATAGAAAAAAAAATTAACTTCATGTTTTGAGGAAATTTGGTTCAATAAACTTAAAGAAAGAGATTATTTTCCTAATACATGCAGCTATTTTCTGTTTTTGAAAATGAAGTGAAAGAAAAATAGAGACATAGAATCCAAACAGAAAAACAATGATATGAAGCAAGAAAAGATTTTTTTTGTAGAAAGTGGTTATTGTATCTTCCTTAATTTGATTGGTCCTTCAGGATGCACACTGAACAAAATGTACCATTTAGATTTTTACTGGGGTTGGGGTGCAAGTGATATCTTCTACTTTTTCCCTTTATTTATTTTTAATTCTGCACGCATAGGGAAGAGTGGATTCCATTTTTAGTTTTGAATTCAGAGTTGTCTTCCTAGAATTGTTGCCAATCAAGATTAAAGAAACCAGTGTGCCCTGTGGGAAGAAAAGATGGATTCATGCCTTTTCCGACAGGTGTTAATGTGAAGTGAACCAAAAGTGTGTCAACCAAAATTTGTGGTGAGCTTCCCGATTCTATTTTTCATGTTGCTAACTTTAGGCCACCTACACCTTCATATATTAAAAAAGAGAAAGAAAAATAAGAAGCAAGTTTCTTTTCATTCTTTGAAACTTACATTGATCCATTTCTTTTCATCCAATACCGATCTGTAAGGATTGGATAAAACATATTCCAAAATGGTTGATAAAAAACCTCAAAGACGTTTTATCCAAATCAATACTAGAAAGCAGAGAAAAAGCATTGTGTCTCCGATAAGGCCAGATATCATGAAGTTATAATTAGGAATTGAACTGATTTCTCTTTCTGCATTTGTTTGGTTAGAATAAAATCTGTTGAACAGAATCATATTGCTTCTTATATCTCTGCCAATCATAGAAGTAGCAAGGCATAAAACTGGACTTCTTTTGTCCAGCAGTTGTAGTCTCTGGGCAGAAGTTAACTGAGCATGAAACAAACTTTATTTAGAAGAGAGATAAAATGACATCTTCTACTTGAAAAAAGATTTTATTATTGATTGCAGTTGTGCATAACACTAGATAGAAGATGCCACACATGTAAAGTCAAACAGAACAGATATGTTTGTGCATGTGTGTCTGTAAAACAGAATAATAATGAGTAAATAAACGTTTTCTATCTTGTCCTTTATTTACTAACATGCAATATATATATATATATATATATATATATGATTAATATGAATAAAAATTTGTCAGTTGATTGATGTTACCTTCAACATCCCAACTCCAGAGTTTTGTAGATGGACCTGTCCATCCACTCTACAGGGGGTATCAGCAATTTACTGCTTATATTTTTCAATTTTTTCTTTTTTTATACACCTAACACTGGTGTAACTTTTTTCCGTATTTTTTTGTGTTCATGTGTGCATGTGCAGCCATGTGCTTGTCTGTGAGGATGTGCACACCCGTATATGTAAGGTGTTGTGATCATTTGTCCTTTACTTCATTTTTTTTTCTTCACTTTACACTTGCTCTTTAGCATTTTTTCATTTTATTTTTGATAGTTGCTGTTTGTGGCAAGTTGTTGAAATCTCTAGACATGTCACTGATTTTAAATTTTGCCCTTCTAGTTATTTTTGGTTTTGTTTTTTTTACATAAATAATTGATATTAATGCTTAAATGAGATTATATATATATATATATATATATATATATATATATATATATATATATATATATATATATACACACACACACACACACACACACACACACACACACAAACAGTGCTGTGTAAAAAGTAAATGAACTCTAAAATAATATTTTAAAAAAAATTGTCTTTTTTTCTAGATGATCAACAAATATTAATTAAGCTATATATTCATTAAGAAAAACCTTTATTAAATCAATTACAACCATTTTCAAGAAATTTTATGAAGCTGTTATATACCGTACCTATGAACACTAATGGGTATGTCCCAATCCTCATAAATACATTGGACACTATTGTAAGTGGGGGTAATATGCTGCCAAAACTGTCAGTGTGAGCTGTCAGCATGGGAAGCTCTTGCCATGTTGAGGTTACAATGCACTTGAATCACAGATTTTCAATTGGGTTTAAATCAGGACTTTGGCTAGGCTATTTCAAGAATTGAAATTTCTATTTACAAAACCATTCTCTTGTGGATTTGCTTTGATGCTTCAGATCATTGTCCTGTTGGAAGTTCCAGCCCCTGACCTAAACCCAACTTTTGAACTGAGGACAAGACACTTTCTTTCAAAATTGCTTGGTATCTTGCAGAGTCCATTGTGCCATCAATGCATACTATTTTGCCTGTTCCAGCTGCAGCAAAGCACCCCCAAATCATAATGCTGTCACCACCATGTTTAATGGTTGGTATCAAATTCTTCTCTTCAAAAGCCATATTAGGAGCTTTGCCAGATATACCACCTATTGTTCCTCCCAAAAAGCTCTAGTTTGGTCTCATCCGACCATAAAACCTTTTGCCAGAATGTTTCTAGCTTATTAATATGAGCTTTGGCATAGTTGAGGTGAGCATGCTTGTGCTATTTCATAAGCAGTGGCTTTTTCTAGGCATTCTGCCATGAAGATCGGCATTGTTCAGATTTCGTTGCACTGTAGATGTATGCACATTGATTCTGACATTGGCCAGTGAGCATTGGAGAACTGCAAAGGTCACAGCAGGATTTACCTGGGCTTGCTGAACTAGATGTCTACTTGCTCTTGCTGTTATTTTTTCATGGACAGCCACTTCTTGATTGTGATGCCGTCATACCAAAGGCCTTCCATTTATAAATAATTTGTTGCATGGTGGAGAAGTGCACTCCAAATCGTTTTGATAGCTTTTTGTAGCCTTCTCCATCATTATAGGTTTCAACTATGCAATTTTTTAAAGCTTCAGGAAGTTCTTTTGATCTTTGCATATATATATTTTTTTAAATTTAGTCTCTAACTGCACACTTTTGCATACACAATGAGTTATATTGTTTGACTGCAGTATACACAGCTTACAAAAAAAATGAACACGTGTCATTTTGATTTTTACATGTGCACAAAAAAATTATTTGCACTGGCAACCATGTAAAACAAAAATACAGAGTGTAAATGTAAGGGTTCACTTACAAATTTATATGCTTCTATACAGACACTCATATCTTGATTGCATTTGGCAGTGTAAAAAAGAAATTTCTCTACTTCTATAGTAAATATAATAATAAAATGATAATTTGAGTGAGGCACAGAATTTGTGGTTGGGTGTGTGAATGAATCCTGAAAAGCCAATGTACCGTTATGTGGCTTACCATCTTCTAATATATATATATCATGGGAGATTGAAAAGAAATTGAAGAGATAAGATAAAAGAAAAAAAATGAATAAATAAAAACTATAAAACATAGATAATAGAGATAGAAAAGCAGAAGATAAGTGAAATGGAAAAAAGGGGGATGGAAGAAAAAGAAAATGATAGTGTCTCAAAAAAATTGAATAAATGGATCCTATATCAGTTTTAGTACTTTCTAATTTGCTGCCATTGATTGATTTCAGCAGTGATTTTTCTCAATATCATCTGCACATCTCTGACTTCCAAATGATGGCATTGGTAGCAGACAGACTGTCTGCCTACTTGCTTGCTTGGATGGTATCAATACCACTCAAAAAGAAATAAAATACCAGCAAAATTATTCACAAACAAACCAGGATGGCTTTTGTTTTCAGTAACCACAATATTTTATAGATATGTATTTTTCTTTTCATACTTAAGCCATGTTCATCAAGATAATCTTTTTAGTAGATCCTATTGGACTTGAAAAAAATGGCTGCCTCTATAGTTTGAATTTTGTGAATGAAATTTAACCAATTATTATCAATAATGTTTTAGAGAAAGATTCAAAATAAATTAAGTTTTTAACTAGTGAGCTTGAGTAAATGAATGGCAGAACAGGGTTTAGGAGAGCTAACAAAAATACAAAATTTATTAAGTGCTACAAATGATAGGAAATTGTGGAGAGCCATTCTCACAAATGTCCTGAATGGACACGGCATATAAAAAAAGAAGAATTTTCGAAGTGAACTAAATTAAATTAAAAAAAAAAAAAAATAAAATGTCAAATTAACATGAACTAAGGTTCTAAATGTCATAGTAAATTTGTCAGAACCTGCCAATATAATGTTAATTCTTGAAAAACACTGGAATATTAAAAAAATAAAAGGTCAGTATTTCATTAATTTCAAAGCCTCTATAATTACAGCAAGCTGGTGTGTATCAATAAAGTTTGTATTGTTGGAAAGCAGTATAATCTTTATAGCCTTAAAAGCTATTTTAGTTTTAAAATTTGAATTTAAATTAGTATTTAAAACATGGCGAAATGAAACACATTTTCTGTACATTGATGACAGTTACCTTTGACTATTTTCTTCCAATTTTCTATATTAACATTAAGTATCATTGGATAAAAAGAGTGAATAATTTTTTCAGTTGTTTAAGAATTATGAACTTTATGTCAATCATTCAGCATGAGAATTTAATGTGTATTTATGATATTCTATTTCAAAATAAATAAAAAGCATTTTAATTGCCACTTT